AAAGACCCACAAGATACCACAAGATACCCCAAAAGTCCCTCTGCCACATAGGTGATAAAGCACGTTCTTCCTTAATTTATTAAAACAATGTGTACCAACAGAAAAAGATGAAAGACCCAAAAGAAAGACTGGGAAGAGATATGAATTGTTCATTATCCAGAAAATAGCTGATAAATGTATAGAGACAATTTCACTTATAACTAAAAAACTACAAATTAAAACCAGATGTAATTCTTCCCTAGCATGCCAGACATACTCACATGCTGGTGACTTTTATAGCTGAGAATGATGAAGATAAATGGCTATTTCCACAGACCATCAAGAGAGCTGTTAACTGGTGAGATATTTCTGGAGCGGTATTTGGCAACACCAGTCAACATCTAAAATGTATTATCTTTGACTTGATCATCTCAGTTACACATTTTTTAACAGCAAGAAAGAATGAGAAGTAACCAGACTGGGCCATCAATAGGCTAGCTAATAAGCATCTTTCATAGGGTGAACAGTATGCCTTTATCACAGGTTCAAGTTTATGGACTCAAAATGATGTCCTCTGCAGTGAATCTACTTTCTCAAGCTTAGAAATCAATTTGCCTAGACTTGAGACCACAAAATTTGAAATCTAGAAGAAATCATTTATATTATCCTGAAGAGAACAGACTCACAAAGAGCAACTGGCTGATAGCTACCAAGCTAGTTAGGAAGGGCAAGCCCAGGCCTAGAATTCAAGAACTGGAAATAAGTGCTGGGGTGGTGGTACACGCCCGTAATCCCAGCACTTGGAAGGCTGAGGCAGGAGCTCACTGTGAGTTCAAGGTCAACCTGGGCTACAAAGTGATTGCCAGGCCAGCCTAGACCACACAAAGGAAACCTTGTCTCAAAAGAAACACACACAGAGTACAGACACACACACACAAAGCTGGAAATAAAACCATCATTCACACACATTGAATTGAAACAGCAGCTAAAGAAAGTTAACTCAAACACTTTCTCTTCCTCTGGTCAAAGATAATGCTCAAGGGAGACAGATCTCTTACAAAAGGGAACAGACCAGGAGACGAAGGAAGGGAAAGGGTGGGGGGAAAGGGGGAAAATGAAATAAATTAAGATGTATTTGTAATTTTATCACCTCCCCACCATGAGCATAATTATTGTGTGTTGCAAACATATAGTAATGACAATAAAAACAAAACAAATAATCCTCCTAAAACTAAAAATCGTGTTTAAAATACAAGAACGATACTTGTAATTTTCCGAAGACATAAATTTACGGTATCAATACCACCAATAAGTGAGTAATCATAATGTATACTGTTTAAGTTTAATCTTCAACTAACCACAGTAAATCATCATTTCTGTTTTACGAGCAACATGAAGACTGATGTTTTCTTATCTTGCTGTCCCCAAGTTTCTTTTCTTTTATGCTGGAATCAATGTTCACATAACTTATGCACCCTTTACTATAAATCAGCAATTAAACTTAATGGACGTTAACTACCTGCCTGTAGTAAATGGACCCAACCCAGTGCAGGGGGAAGGCAGGCACGATGTTGTATGCCTGTGTTCCCAGCACTTGGCAGACTGAGGTAAGATCCTATGAGTTCAAGGCCAGCCTCAGCTCTACACTAAATAGTGAGTTTAAAACCAGCCTGGGCTACATAGTGAGGCTGTATCTTAAACACACAAACAAAAAATAACAACAACAACGAAAAGCTCACTTAGATTCTATACAACCTGCGATCTCCGCCCCGTCTATGTATCTCTATGTCATACGTCTAAGGAGTTGTAGCATATTAATGAAATAGAAAACCCACCCTCTATAGTTAAGAGTTTTTCTCTTGCCAGGTACTATTTTGAAATGAAACCAAATACCTAACAAAGAGCAACAAGGGAGGAAGATATATAAACATTCAATATAAAATATTTAAAAATTTTATAAATATGAGAAATATAAAATTATAACAGACATTATTCCACTATAAACATATTCACATGTAAAAACAACTCAGCAACAATGATGAATTCAATTAAATTTCAAAGGAAAATAGACCACTGTAGATCGAAGTATACAGCAATGGGTACCCTGTTTACCCAAAAGTATAATTAAGACCTTGTATATAAACCTTCTACGTATTAATGACAATTTGGGCAACCCACTGGGGACCTCTCCTGTCTCTCAGAAGCTATTCCTATTCCTATTCCCCATTCCCCATTCCTTTTTCCAAAAAATTTTCCAAAAAAAGAAATTAATGACAATTTTAAGATTAAGACAGTATTTTAGAAAAAATACTGTTTCTTTCAAAAAAATCTGGCAGGACTTTTTTGTTCACGCAAAAGGCAGCTCAGTAAGACAAACACATTTTGCACGCAAGTGTACCTGACCCCAGGAAACACACAAAGTCATAAGGAAAAGCCTACTTGACTCAGTGGTGAGCAAGATTTCCTTATTCATAATACTCTACAGAGTGGAAAAATCAACATTATTTTACTAAAAGGAAGAGGGAAAAAAGAATTGCAAGATCTAAGTGTTCAATTACTACTCTAATAGGAAGAAAACGAACCATATTCAAAGTTGAAGAATTGGGAAATAACAGGATATAGATAATATTTTAGAGTATTAGAAATAAAATGTCCTAAGAAACAAGCCAAAATGCCTAAAGTTCTCATTCCTGTCAGGCAGGAGTGGATTCTGTTCTGACACCAAAAACGGAAAGAGCCGAACGAACACATTTTGGTCACTTTCTTTCAGCGACATCTGGTCAAATATTTAACAGTTTTATAACTACTTACGGCAATAGCTCATGGTGTGAAATACTATATTATACATTATATGTATATTATACACAGTATACGTAACTTTAAGGAGTTTATATATTACATATGTAACTTTATTATACATAACTTTAAAAAGTTGATTTTATTTAATTTCAGTTAATTTTATCCCTGAGAAACTTACAATATTAAGCTATACTTTGTCTACCTTTTCCTGTTTTTCTTCCTATTTGAAAAAGAAAAATGAAGTTTCTTGTGGCACCATCTCCCAGTGTAATGAGAAAAACTCCTACTGTTAGAAGCTTTTTATGTTTTCAAAAGCCTCTAATGAATGTGGAATGCAGTCACTGTCCCTGTTTAGTGACCTCTGGAGGATTCACAAACAGCAAGATACTGGTTCAGCAGCTCACCTTCAGCGGCGACATTTATCCCAGTAACTAGGTAAAAATGCCGATCAGCTGCACACCTCAGAGTAACCTCTGTTTTGGTGTTAAGGGGGGACCAGGACGTTGTTTTAGAAAGAGAAATCAGCTGCCCGTCAAGGGCTGGATCCTGCTCTAAAAGTTTCCTATTAATCAACCGAAACGCCCACTTTAGAGCATTTGACTTCACTGGGCCCTCGTTTCCTCACATGTGAAAATCATAGACGTGATCTAAATTTTTGTTACTAGAGAAGGAACACAGATTTCTGAAAGCAAACAATGAACAAGAGAAACGTAACATTGTACAGTTCAGCATCCCGCAAGAAGCACCCATCGTGTTTACTATGGTGTGTTTCTTTCCAGAACTGGTTACGCATCTGTTCTTTTGGGAAAAAGCAATCAAAATTGAGCATAATGTCAAGCCTGAAAATGTCACTTGCCAATAGCAAACATTCTTCTAAATGCTTAGATTTACCATCGATGTGGATCTGTTTTACCCGCCAGCTACTGTGTTTGTTCTGAATGCTAAATACTATATATATATATATATATATATATATATACCCTGTTATCTTCCCTGGAGCTTTTCTCTTTGAAAATTTCCAAAACACATACCCAGGACGGAACTTCTAGAATTAAAGGGTAAACAACACTCTAAGATTATGATGCGAAACTTCTCTTCAGAATCACTGGGATCCTTTAGAGTCCTCTGAGCCATTGTACAACAATAAACCTTTCACATACTAACTACCTAACTAAAACCAGCCTTTTGTCCTAATTTGGAGCAACCCGACTTATAAAAATAATATTGTGCTTAATTCTGCATTTCTTTGTCTATCTAGATTATTTTAAAAATATTTTCCCTTCCAATATATTCGGATTGCATTGTGATTTACATCACAACCAGCTGCAATTAACAACAAAATGCACTTGAAAAAGGTCAACACACGCCTTGCGTTATTCATAAAATTTTCCAAAAATGTATGATCACACAACCTTACACAGTGAATTGAAAGTTAAAATTTCTCTCCTATAGTAATACATTGATACAACTTTTACTGTCATTTTAAAGCTTATTTTCTCACATATCATCTCAGTAGAGATAGCTGAGATTGTGGTTTATTATTTTTTTAAATAAGCATGCATCTAGGTTCCCATGGTGTAGAACTGAGGCTTAGCTGTTCCGCAGCTGCTGCTGCTGGTAGGATGAGAACAAAGTCATTCACCTGGGTCTTCCAAGTCCCCCCTTCTCATGAGCAACACCAGGAAAACAGCCTGTTTCCCACACTGCAAGGATGCAAGTGTCAAATGACGTCCCATAAAATGCCACAGAGAAGGAAGTCTTGCTGGTATTATAATTATCATGATTCCTAACAGAGGTGCTAAACAATCCTTTGTGGTGAGTAACCAGGGAACATTCTGGCTTGAGAGAGACGCAGATGCGGTGGGTAGGAGTCAGTAAGGCCCCACGCCTCGCTGCCCCAAGCCTGGACGAACAAACAGAACCCATCTTCCTAAGTGGCTGCTTATTTCATGAGAGGAATCTGATATTATTAATCCAGTTCTAATAAAAATGTGATTTTACATATTAAACTATTTATCTTTACTTATATGAAAAGACAGAATATTCTTCTGCAAAGACTAACACCCCCCATCAAAAATTAATCTCTAGTTTTTTTAAAAAAAGAGCACAATGTAAGAGAATAAAGTATAATTTCTCCTGAATACAGTATTAGCTTAATGTGTTGTGTCTACTGTATTTTTCTAAGTACACACTCAAAATATTTAAGTCACTCATAATCAAAGAGAAAACAGACAGGCATGGTGCTGCATGCCTGTAATCCCAGCATTCTGGGCAGCTGAGGCAGGAGGACCACATGTGTGAGCCAATCTGGGCAATTTAGTAAGATCCTGTATCAAGATAAAAAGTAGCAGCAACAAAACAGAACAAAAAAGGTGGAGGAGGCTATGGAAATAGCTCAGTACATGACCAAGTCCCTGGATTCAATCCCTAGTATCACAATATACAGAGAAAGACAGAGGAATGGGAGAGGATGGCGTGCAGAGGGACAGGATGGGATGGGGTGGGATGGAATAGGGTGGAATGGAGTGGACTGGACTAGACTAGACTGGAATAGAATAAAGAAAACACACCCTAAGCATTTTAAAGGAAAAAAAGTTAAATGAACATTCACTTACAGAGACTCAGAAGCAATTACTTTGCATATTCCTCTAGTTTTATTAATTTAATTCCAAGAGTTTAAAACTTACGTATCTACTGGTTTCCATCTAAGACAACCTATAACAAAAGCCAAAGCCAAACCCAACGCACGGCACTTACTTTTATCCGGTGGTCATCCGTGTCCACGACAGTCGCGACCCTAATAAAGATGGGGTTCCTCTTATCTACGACCTCCAGCTTCATTTTCTTCTGGAAACCATGTGGGGGCTTCTGCCGTAGGAGAAAAGTTTCCCAGTCAGATTGAGAGAAAAAAACAGGGGAACCTGATGCTACAAAGAATAGGAAACAGATGAGCTGTTTAGGGAACCAGCTTGCAAACTCTCAAATTCCCAGCGTGGCTCTGGATAACAACCTCCCCTTCAAGAAAATAAAATCACAACAAACACGGAAGAAAGAGAAAGACAGCGTGAGTACTAAGCCGAGGGGTGAAAAGCGGCACCGAAGAAGACACTCCGGTTATTTCCTTAGCTGCAGGGGAGGCCAGACAATTTTCTCATTGGTTGGAGGTGTCTTAGCAAAGACAAATCAACAAACACTAACTTTATTTTTAAAAGGAGATGCAGAAACGAGGGGCTGAAACAAGGCACGGAGATTTAGAAGAACTGAGGGCAAAAGGCAGAGGACAGCTTCAGAAAAGCAGCTCTGCAGACGGAGTAGCTCTTACCAGACATGAATGGGAAAAAGGGATCCAGAGCCACCCTACAGTTCCATACATAAAAACCATAGACCTCTGAAACAGTTTGTGGTGGTGAAAGGCAAGGTGATAGACTGGTAAGGAGTTACACAGATGACTTATATTTTCTTCCTTTCAGTCCCTCTTCTGGAAGGTGAGTGTAATAAAACTGTTGCTCTAAAGATGAAGTGTGAAATATATGTAAACAAAACTAGGCATAGTAGTGCCTGAAATCCCAGAACTTGGGAGGCTGAGGCAGGAGGATTGTTGAGAGTTTGGGGCAGCGTGGGCCTACATAGTGAGTTCAAGGCCAGCCTGAACTACATAGAGAGACCTTGTGTGATAAAAAAAGAAAGAAAGCAAAAATTATGTAAACGATATAAAACAATCAATGTAAGTCATATAGGACCAAACAAAAGAAATTTTAATTTTGATTCTGAAAGATATATAAGTTGATCCTGCGATAATTTTATACAGGTTAAAGCAAGATTTAAAAAGAGAAAACAAGGCTAGTGATATAGCTCAGTGGCACAGCACCTGCCTAGCACAAGGTCCTGAGTTTGATTACCAGTACCAAAAAGCTAAAAAAAAAAACGAACTCAACATTATGTTAGACTCAAAGTTAGACAGAGTATGAATAAAAATTCATAAGTATGCCAATAACGCTAAACATTATGCTTTTAAAAATTCCAAACATACTATCGGATGAAGTCATACAAACCCTTTGACAGTGTGCTTCTTTGTGTAATATGGTTTCACTGTTAGAATTTTTTTTTTTTCTTTTTTTGCAGTGCTAGGGTCGAACTCAGTGTCTCACACATGCTGGGCAGAAGTGTCCTACCCCTGAGCTGCATCCCTAGCCATGAAAGATATTTTGAAAGATACTTTGAAGATATCAATATGTAATACAAGCATTGTTAATTTCCTACCACTTTGTAACTGTGTATTGTCTGTACTGTTCTTTTGCTATTTTGTAAAAGGTTGTCTGTCTGTTAATGTTTTCCTCCTTTTATTTTTAAAAGAAAAAAAGAAAAAAAACTTACAAATTTGTAAATTATTGTTCAAAGCACAGTATTATGATAGACTGTCACATTTAAAAAATGAATATATATTTCCCTTCAGATTCATGAGAAAATACAAATGCTTAAAGCAAACTGTTTGAGATGAAAAAGTAAAAAATGCATTTCATTTATTGTTCTTCTCTTGGACATAAATGAGGTTTACTTTGCATCTTAATAAGTCATGTGTAAGAAGTAATGACCCTGGGTTTTTGCGAGATACTCTAATGAAAGCAGATGACCCTGCTTTAGTAAAAAACGCTGATTTGTACCAATAAAATACAAAAAAGCATCTCAACTTGCCACAAACAAATTCAAAGGAGTTACAGATGTAATTTTTATCTGAACACATTTTTCCATTCAGTTTGGTCTTTAAAAATATCTAGCTGGAAAAAAAGAAGTTTGCTGTAAGATTTCAACCAGTCTCCCCATAGTCTCAAAAAGCATTATTTCCCAAGAAGATTTTAAAGTCCAAAAAAAAAATAATAATCTCAGTAATAGTTTTACTTTAAAAACCTGTAAAATTTAAAAATATCTTCTTTGGTCTTCTGTTTTCTTCTTGTTCCTATTCTGATTTGTCAGTATCATCTTTTTGTGTTCTTAAATTTAAGTGAACAGATAATAGTATCAATGCAAATTAATCAAACAGTATAAGACATGTTCTCTCACCACTTTGAAAGCTCTTGCAGGGGCAGGTAAAGAATTGGTTTCTTCTAAGTATTTATCCCAAGAAAAGTGTTTCACATTTGGATAACCTAAGAAACACAGAAAAACATAAATCCTATGAGATTTAACCAAAATAATGAGAATAACAAACTGCCCTACAAAAATTATGAGATATTGCTATCATTATAGTTTAGTAAATTATGTTCATACATACAGAAAGACTTTAAGCTTGTAGCACTTTGGAATTACTTCTAATGATTTTGTTTTTATCTTAATTATGATTCTCCTACTACTTTTTAGATGGAAATTTTATATATATATATATATATATATATATATAAAGTTTACATAACATTAAACACACAAATGCCTTGAATCTAGCTGTTTTATTTCTACTAATTTAGGACAACCCCATATGTGTATAAAGACACAATGCACAATTATTTTTGCACATGAAAATGTAAAAACAAGTTAAATGATCCTCAATGTAATATGCGAAAAAATAAAGTACATGTGAAATAAATGTGTGTGTACATATCTAAATATATAAACTACTCTAGATATCTCTTCATACTGTTAGACTGAACTCAGAAACACACTCAAACCACAGAACATTGCTAGTAGAATGTGTGAAAATAACTGTCCTTTCCTTTCTCTGCTGCTTTTTCCTTCCTCTAGAGATAAATTCCATTAGGTTGGCATGAGCAAGAATTACCATGGCCCAGTAGGGTGGCAAATTAGCCATAGTCTCAAGTTGCTACATAAAGGGGACTGAGAAAATATCCAACTATAGTAGAGATCCCAGAAGGTAAACTTCTCCCTGACTGAGAAGAGAAGTAGAAGGAAGAGGTATGGAAAGAAGAAAACTAGAAGTGAAGCCAGTGGTGTCAGAGTTGAATCTGAGCTCATGGCATCCACCCAGTGTGCAGCACACACCAATGCAAAAACAAGCACTGATTTCTGTATATATTTACATGGATGCATTTCCTCCACCCAGCAAGGGGGATGGGAGCTATAACATGCCAGCAGCAATAAGCACTCCAGAAGCTGGATTCTGAATATCATTCAATACTAAAAACAACTTGGATCCTCGGAGAAACTGCTGACTGTGGTATGGCTCAAGCAAGCACCTAGGTCAGCTGCATTGAGAAGTAAGATGTTCTCCAAAAATGATAAGAACACATCAAAGGACAGGGGCTCCCGCAGTAGAATTTTAAAGAGGCTTTCACTAACTAAAATCTCTCAAAATCTGACATGAAAATAAATAGTGCCACTCAGAGATTATAATTCGTTGCTAAAAACAGTAATCTATAGGTCCACACTGATATATATACATATATATATATATGTGTATATATATATATATATATATATATATATATATATAAGTGGAATTAATGAGAAAGCTATTCTGTGTAGAAGACTATTACCTAATTATGTTCAAAGGGTAATGATGAACAGTGTGATTCATAATGAAAAATTACCCTTTGTCTACTGTTAAAATGATAACTCATACTAGATATACCAACAGATGCTAAAACTAGCAGGTGATTCTGAAATGAGAAACAGCATGATCCTCAAATCATATGTCTAGAAAATACTCATTAATGACTGAGGAAAAAATAACTGTATTAGTGAAAAAAACCTGTCAAATATCATCTTGATCAATCAGTGGTAGAAAGACAGATTGACATCATGTGCCCCAAGAGGATACAAATATAGCACAGCATCACTTCTGTGATTCCCCTGCCAAAAATGCATGACCTGGTTCTGATAATGAGGAAACAGTAACATTCTACAACACGACTACTCCGTAATCCTCAAAAAGCGTGAGGTTATAAAAGGCAAGAAGCATGTAACTAAGGGAGGCTAGAAGGAGCGGCAGTGGAGCTCAAGATCTGATCCTTCTGCTAAATTGCGCCATCTGGTCAACTGACTAAGCTGAGAGGCTACAGGTGAATTCTGCTCCCCTCCTGCGACTTTTCTACATTGGAAATTATTTCAAAGGAGAATGTTTAAAAAGCATGTTTCTCCTTTGTAAGAATCTTTTTGGTCTATATTTTTTACTCTGTAATTTCTTTGAAGATCATGACACAGCATAATAACTATTGTTCTTCTTTTGTTATGAAATTTTATTTTTTTCATAAAAAAGTAAATATGCAAGACTATTTCTGCATATACACATTTTAAGGGACATATCCTGCACATTTCAAGTAATTTAAATCAGAATAGCCTATCAAATAACATTGATGGGTATGCATGCATGTGTACATACCCAGAAAAAAAGCTGGGGACAAACTAAACTACAAAAAGAGGTAACTGTGGTTACTTCTATTTTTCACTCTAAATTTAAAAACAAGTATGCTGGGACATACAATTTGGAAAAGATGAAGATTTTAATTTTAGAAAGAGAATAGCAAAGATAGCACCGGTCACAACAGCTAAGTCTTGGAGGCAACCTGTATGTTTATTAATGGATACATGGATATAGAAAAAGGGCACCAAAGAAAGAGAGTCTCTTTCGTTGTGGAGCAAAGAGTAGCACCAGCTTAGGTCCAGTAAATCATTTTCATAATTTGACAGATTTTTGTTGTTTCATTTTCTTCATTGTGGTATAATATGTAATGTAAAATTTAACTTTTAAACCATTTTTAGGTGCACAGTTAATGATACCAAGAATATTCACACAGACCTTGGTATAATTTTTCACATGAAATTTTGAGGTTTTAAAAACTTGACAAAAGCTGTTATTTTCTCTTCTGCCAAATTATCAAAGTTGATAAAAGGAGACAAATGCCTTGGCTTCTGCTTCACAGAAGAAGCCAGCAATAGTGGTGGACCCAATCCCCCCAAGGTTCACATCCAGGCTTTTGTCATTCGGGGGCTCACTGTTTATCTACCAGATACCTGAGTATAACCCAAAATGGTACTGTAGAGAGAAAGGATTTATATCTAACCAGAAAACCCTAAGAATCTTCAGGTAGTTCAGATGGTGACAGTGACAGAGATTCTACCACATAGTCATCAGTCGCTAATATTCTATAAGCCAGAGGACATGGAAGGCCAAACATAAGAAATCTTCCAGACAGCACATGTGGAAATTAATCTGCAGAAAAATATTAACTAATTATGCATAAAGAGTAATGAGAAACAGTGTGATTCGTATTGAAAAATTACCATCTAGCAACAGTAAAGCAGTCATTATATTAGAAATATCAACAGATGCTAAAACTAGCTAATGATTCTGAAATGAGATACAGGATAGGTGCACCATTAGTATCTTGCTGTCTTCAAGTCAGCTATGTGAATTAGTTGGGGCAGATGCTTTCCTGCCTTTAACACAGGAGCAAACTCAGAGAGGGGATGGCCTGAGCTTGCTGGTCGCAGGACTGGCTGGTGCCCAGTGAGCAAAAGCTCAGACGCTCTGAGGGAGGTGCCATGGAGGCGCTGGGGACCGGCTGTTAAGAGTAATTAAATGAGACTAACATTTAACGCTCTAAACCGAGCCTCTGCTCATACTCGATGTGGGCGACACCCACAGCCAGCTCTTGGAGGACTATGGATCATCCCTCCCCTGTGATCAAGGCAGTCCACTCTGGTCAGGTAAACATCTGCTGTCCTGAACATTGAGGCTCTGTGTGAGCTGATGTCCCTGCCTTCTTCTACCAGGAGGAACTGTGACACCTTCAACATTCACGTGCTCAAAAAAAAAAGTCTTGATTATGATGAAGCTGCAGAATGTTCTTTAGCACAAGATAACCAATTCGAAAGTAGGATGCTATTTATCCAGTTACCCTGCTCTCTATCCGTGAGAAAGCAAAGAAGCTGAGAAGGCTCTTAGGTCAGAGGCACATAGCTGCAGGCCCGCAAACCTCCGAACAGAACCACTGGTGCACAGGAAGAGAAGTACCATTAGTATTTGGGTCTAAAACCTATTTTGGAACCAGGAAGCACAACAGAAGAACAAAAAACACATGTGTGAGCTCTACACTAAAAACATCCGAAGTTTCCAGTTCTCACTTAAATGTGAGCATCACCCTTCTGCCAGACCTGAGCCTCCACGTGGAGTTTGTGGTCCGTCTGCTCTTCTGTGTCTTCCACAGAATACTCCATCACATTCCTGGACTTGTCTGAGACGAGACAACACCTTTAAATGTACACTGATACCAAGGCTTGAAATGAATTTCAAGTTGAGAAGGGAAAAATATTTTAAATCTGAGCTTATGTTTCCAAAGAAGACCAAAATCTGAGACTCTGCTTTAAACCAAGCCAATGCTCAATGTACGTGAAGGGCAGGAAATTCACACCTGTGGCCAGCTGCACATTTCTGTAAAGACAGCAATGATGCAATGAGCCACACCTGTGTGTGTACTGTCTGTGGCTGCTTCTGGGCTACATCCAAGTTGAACAGTTGCGACAGGGGCTCTAGAGCGTGCAAAACTTAAGATGCGTACTAGCTGGGCCTTTACAGAAAAGGTTTACTGGCCTCTGAAGTCCGTGAATAATATTAGACACACAATAAACACGAACCTGGCGGAGTAATGAGGGTCCTTCTGTGTTCTTTACACCAACCAACGGGATGAATGTGCGGACTAGATGCTTCACACCTGTAGGTTATATAAATTAAAAAGCTGGAGTTATTATATGAGCTCAAAAAATGCTACTAGAAGTGTTTTTTTAATGGTTCATTAGCGATCATGAACATCTTTCAGAATTATTACAATCTACCTAATTTGTAAAAAGTTGTTAAACCAAAAGATCTTTCACTTTTTTAATACACTAATGCCAAGTAGCATTTTAATAGATAAATATACAGATTTGACAACATACAGTTTTCTTCCCCCTACGAACATTGTTTATATTAGGAAACTTCAAATAAGCAGAAGTACAAAGATCACATCATTAAAATTCAGCATTTTCATTCACAACCATCATATGGAAAAATAGACCGCCTACACAGAGGCAAGCAAAAATTATTTCACCATCTCTACAGGCACACACGTGAACGCGGGAAGCCCAAGCACTCACAGGAACCAACAGTATGCTATTCCTATTCCCTGTTACAATGGCACAGACCACTATTAAAGTAGCGTTTCTTCCTTTTCCCTATCTCTTTCTTCTCCTCTCTGTAATCACCACCATAGTTAAGCATATCTGTTTCCAGAGCCTTTGTATCAACATTCAAATCTGGCGCTTCTGATTCCCTGCTCCTAACCATAACTGCTCTGCGTGTTTCTCATCTCAACACGTGATGTGTTTCTCCACTCACTTGCTCACTCGTTCATCCAAACAGAGAGACGGGATGAGGTGCCAGATGAGAAACTGCAGCAAATAATACAAGTGTAAAGCTCCTACTTTTATGGCACTTATACTACATGAAGTAAACAACAAATAAATGTAGTTGGCCTTCTGTATCTGCAAGGGACTGGGTCAGGGAGTCTTGTGGATAGCAAAATCAGAAGATATTCAAGTCCCTGATACAAAATGGTGCCACTGTTAGGTTATACTTATGATACCTGGTATAACGCACCTTGGTGACACAGCGCTAAGCAAGAAGTGAGCAGCAGACTGTGTAAGTGCAAGAGTGCACCTCACAGGGTCTAGTCAAGTCGGGTTCTCAGTGCAATGTTCTGAGGAAAAACTTGAAGGATTTAAAGAAAGAGAGAATGGAGCCACTCAAATATATGAAGGCAATTAGGGCACAGCACGTGCAAGGTTGTGCTGTGAGTGGGAACCTCGCAGGACTGTATCAGGAACAGGAAGGAAGAGGCTGAGGGAAGCACAGGCCACAGGAAATGACGTCAGACAGGACGGGCCCTCAGGCTACAGCAAGGTTTAGGATTTCACGCACAGTGAACTAGAACATCATTGTGGAGGGTTTTAAGCACAGTCCTAGCTTTCCTGTATTTGTGCTTTAATTATTCTGGCTGCTGTAAGAAAAGTAATCCACACAGGTGGCAAGAGAGGAAGTGGTCAAAGCTATGGCAAGGGTTTCTCGTGGTGGCCTGAATCACAGGGGTGGCGGTGAGGACGGCAAGAAATGGCCACGCTGTCGGTGTGTATGTTAAAGGTAGAGCCAAGAGGATTCGCCGATAGATTTAATATGGAGGCTGAGTGAAGTGAAGAAGTCAGGACATTACAGGCTTTGCACATGAGCAACAAGAACACAGTTGCCATTTTCGGAGGTAGAGAAGACTCCAGGTATGGTCTCTGACACTAAGCGGGTGAAGGAAGTCCTGTGATTGACAGATGTCCAATAGATAATCAGCATAAACATCTGGAGTTCAAAGGCAAGATCAAAGCCAACAGCAGGAACCTGGGAGCATCAGCCCCTGGGATGGTATGGTACTTACTACCCAGAGCAGAGCTGAGGACATCCAGGTAGTGTGCAGGGGAGGCGCGGTCCGGCAAGGAAGGCCTAGTGCGGAAGAAGTGGGAAGAAAGAATGAAATCTGCTGCACCAAATGCTGCTGGAGGGTCAGAGAAGTTTCTGAGTGGATCTCTGACCCAGGCTGCATGGATCGCTGTATTTGTGACAGTGAAGGTCATCGGTATCCTTGACAAGGGCAGTTCGGGTGGAGTTGAGGACGGGAAAGGGCAAACGACTGACAGAAGCAGATTTAAGAGAAGAGGCAAGATTATAAAGAAGACATGTTTAGGGAGTTCTGTTATAGAAGGAACCAGAGGCAGGAAGGGCAAAAGAGAAGTTCCGTCCCATTATTTTGTTGGAAAACTGGGAGAAGCTGATGGAGGCCTGTACGGCAATACTCTGTATAACTTTACAAATTTTAAGTGTACGATTATTTGAAAATAAGAGGTGTTTAACGAGATGAGAAATATTACCTTATTTACTCAAAAAATAAAAGGAGAGCAAAATCTTTCTTCAATCAGGGGATTTTTCTTGATATAATGATACCGTGAGTATAAATAAAAAAGAACTCCTCCCACTTGTGCACTGGGAGAAATAATCCCACACAGAGGACGACCTACTGAGCTGAGAGGGCAGAGCTGCACGGGAGGGGGACACGGGAGGTACGGGGGTGGGGCAGGGGCAGGGCCCGAGAGCAGAGCTCCCACAGAGGGCAGCAGGGCTCACGCCCCAGTCAGTCTATGCAGAAAGTGGGAAGATGGCGCAGGCATGGACTAGGCTCTGCCTTTCTTCTCAAGAAAACAGGAACCAAGGTTATCAGCCCAGAGGGAGAACAGGAAGCGGGTGTGAGCAGCCAGAAGAAAACACGAAATGTCATAATCTAGAAGGACAAGGACAGGCAGGACTAAGGGCCCACATGAGGTTCACAGGCATAGACAGGAAGCCAGGCCCGTCGGCTGGCCGTGTGACTTTCTCCGGCTGTCCCCAACTGCTAGGAACAGGAGCACAGAAGGCAGAAAGATGGATTCCGTCAGGACTGGGGTTTTCCCAGGCAAATACACTGTAAGGAAATGGAGTCTGCTATTACAAGAAAGTGGTTACGATAGCACTATACACGCACATGTAAAGAAATCACAATATATTATCTTTTTAAAAAGTGCTTAGAGATGTGATCAAAACAAATGGCACATGTTTAAATTTAAAACATTTATTTCAGTAAAAGATACACTGCCGTTAATTCCCTGAAATACACTGCCTCTTGATTCAAACACACTTATCTCATATTCTTGCCACTTTCTGAAGCAGTTCTGGAGGTCCTCTTTCCTGAGTGTCTTTACAAGGTGTGAGCAGAAATACAGGGAATACTGCCGCCAACCGCCATCCAACAGAAAGGCGGAGTCGTTAAAACATCGTGCCTTGTCCCCTACCTTGCCATGGGGTCGGTACAGTGTGTCTGCTGGCTCCCCGCAGAAGTCAAAATGACCACGAAAGGTAGAGGTTTGAGACTGATTCAGGACATCTACATAGCCTTGAGAGTGACATTAAGAAGACTCAATGAAAAAGAGTCCAAAACTGCTTCAAAAGTACAAGAACTGTGGGATGTATCTGAAGTGGGGGTAAGGTTCTGAGGGGGATTAATGGCAATGTGTTTTTTAGTATAATAAAGTTTTAAAAATTTAAATATCACTGTATTTTTAATCGGACTTGTTTACTGGGGGGTGTGCATGTGTGTGTGCGTGTGTGTGTGTGAGGGTCACACAAAACATATTTCAGAAAAACACAATATGCTACTTCTTAGAGATTTACAGTATGGACACAACAAGAGCATATTAAAGACTGAAACTGCACTGGAGAAACCAACTGTGAACTGTTCGATGCAGCATGTCCTCAAGATAATGATGAAACACTGCTTTGTTATAAACACTACTAACACCGCACAGAATACCAGTGGTCTGTAGGACACCATTTGGGGAAAGTTGGTTTAAGGAAGTCAAGAAGTCCAGTCTCCATCCAGGAACCAATGCTGTTGTTTCTGTCCTGAGAGATCAAGAAATCAACACAGCCCTCCAAAGGAGAAAACAGAAGTAGAAAACCAGGAGGGTAACAGTGGCTGGAGATTCTAGTGAACTGAAAGTCTAATGAATACGGAAAAACGAAGCATTTTCTGGAGAATGAGACTGACAAACAGCCACGCCCTTCTGAGCTGACCTTCTCTGGGGCACAGCCTCACAGGGTAATATGCCTTAAGTTGGGGTATCCACTAGGGACTGCTGACTTCTCTCAGAACTCGCTGCAGTAGAAAATACCTTTAACTTTCCAGTTGAAGATGCCTTCTTTCCTGCTCTTAATCACTTGTGGTCTCATACCCTCCTCCGCTGCTAAACTTTTACTTTTACCTTACATGATATACTAGGCTAACAGGTGTGAATGACATTATTTTAGAAATATGAGAGGAAAACAGGTATAGCTAGGCCAATGCCAACCAAGTTCCTGTGGTCACTGCTACATTTCATACAATATATATTTTCATAAGAGACATTTTAATACACCATTCCTGAAGATGTATTGCTATAAAGTATGCAAATAGGGCCCTGGAGCTCTACTTTTAGCTATCCTGACTTTTCCTAAACAATGATTTTGTCTATGGATGATTACTAATGATGCATTTCTTTATTTCATTTCAGGGGGGGGTGTTACTTCATACACAGCTTCGTTAAGAATGAAAAATAAATATATGACATGAGTTTAATTTTCCCTTCTCAATCTAATAAAATTATAGAGTAGCTTTTATAATTATCTGTCAGATTCATAGTGATTATTTCAAAGCAAGAACATTAAACACTAGTCTTGGTGTTATTGGATTTCTCTATAAAGTATAAGTAAGGAAAATAATATGGCATATTACGGCAAATTACTCCTGTACTACCTGGATCTTACATTAATATTTTGATAATATTTAAGTGTACCTTAAAGTCACTTTAAATTAGAAATGAAGTCATCTCAATAGAGAAGATAAAAATGCCCCTATTTTTATCAACTTTATTTTTACGTTCTCAATAAGCAAACACTTCATTCAGAAGTTGGAAGCTGTGAACTCCTCTCTGCGACCGCTGTAAAACAAGTCATCCCTTAGTCCCATCTAGTGTTCAAAGGCAGAAATGTAACCAAAAAGAAATACAATGAAAGGCTCGTGGTGAAAGGCTTAGCAAACCACTGATCGCAGTACCTCTCCATTAT